ATAAGAGTAGGGATGAAGTTATAGTAGCACAATATTGTCACAGTGAACTTATGCAGTATGGTTTAACGCTGCATCTCTGTTCGTTTATATTTCTTTCACCCATGAATGCTGCCATGTGTGCATAAGTTTTGATAAGTTTTAACTTTTTAGAATAGATTTGTATATATTTTATGGTAATAATAAAAAGTACTAGTATCTACATATATTTTATGCATTCACAACATAACCTAACGCTCTTAATTTTTTCATTATTTCTAGGCTACATGGGTTCATCTGTGTTTTTTTTTCCAATCTCCAAAACTTTTTCTAGCATATTTTCTAATAAAAAAATCTGTGTATAGCTGTACATGTGCAATTCAAACCTGCATTGTTTAAGCATCAATTCAATTTATCCCCATAGATAGGGGATAGGATAGGCCAAGTGAGGAAAGATGGTATCATGGCATATATGAAACCTTTTTAGCATTTGTCCTTTTCTCAAAAATCTTGAGAGACAGACTTAAAAACCATGTCCAAGGAAGACAAAAACAGGTTGGGCAAGTCAATTAACAAAACCTATTATAAATTAAACCTGATCCCCCAGACAAGGTGTTAAATGAATGAACTCACTCACAGAGAGTGGGCATGAATCTGCATGAGCTCTGATGTATATTGAAACTTCAGAGTTCAATAAAAAAATCCAGCTCCAGAAACCACTTTGTATATATAAGAGTCATCATGGCTTATTAAGGCAGGCAAAATGAAATTAAAAACTCTGAACTTGAGGCCAGGCACAGTGGCTCATGCCTGTAATCCTAGCACTCTAGGAGGCAGAGGAGAATGAAATGCTTGAGCTTAGGAGTTCTAGACCTGCCCGAGCAAGATCCAGACCCCATCTATACTAAAAATAGAAAAATTAGCCAGGTATAGTGGTGCACGCTGATTGTCTCAGCTACTTGGGAGGCTAAGACAAGAAGACTGCTAAAGCCCAAGAAGTTGAGGTTGCTGTGAGCTATGATGCTATGGCATTCTACCCAGGGCAACAGGGTGAGATTCTGTCTCAAACAGGCGCACACACACACACTGTGAATTTGATCTAACAAAGAATAAAAATAACAAAGATTGGGAGACCTAAGTGTTTGGTTTCTGTTTTTTCTTTTGAGGCAGAGTCTTACTACGTCGCCCTTGGTAAAGTGTCATGGCATCACAGCTCACAACAACCTCCAACTCTTGGGCTTAAAGCGATTCTCTTGCCTCAGCCTCCCAAGTAGCGTAGCTGGGACTATAGGTGACCGC